GAATACAGCTGATATATAACAAGCCAAGTAACACCAAAAACTCCTTGGGATTTGGCTTCCTCTGGAGGAATTCCCTGATCCCTCCAGGTAGTGACTTTGCCATAACCAGCTGAGTTCTTATGATATATTTCTGCGGCCCGCAAGAGTGAGGTCTGGGACCAACCCTGGTACTAGTGGGCCCATAAGAGAGCAGGAACCCCTCTGTGAAGGAGCAGCGGTCACAAGGTATCTCAGGTCTCCAGCGGTAGAGACTTAGTTGAGTGGAGAGGGGCTTTCTTTCTTCATTTCCTCGGAAGAGGGACAACATATGGCTAATGAACTGACTGGATACCAGGAGAGCTGAAAATGGTTCTACCTTTAAAGCTGGAAGTTTGCTACCACTGAAGAACCTTAACTAGATGTGAACACACTGAAGAATGCAGTACTCTACACCTACAAAGACAAATCCAAGCTTGTCAAGGGTGACGAGGTAAATGAAGAGGCTTAGCTGAAAAACCCAAACAAAGAAGGAAGATAGTAAGGCTGGTGGCAGAAAGAAAATAATTGTTAAAAAGAATAAAAAAGTGAAAGTATTCAGTTCAATTTGGTTTTGAAATGTCTGGCTAAGGAGAAAATAGTTAAATCTTCATATCAAACAGACAAACAAAGCCAGATCAATCAGTAATTGAGCATCTGAAACTGTTTTTCTTGCCTACCTACTCCTCTCCTAAAAAAATCAATCTTCAATATTGGCCAGCCAACATACACTATCTTGCTAGGCAGGGTGGCACACAACTTGAATCCTAGCACTCTAGAGGCAGTTGGATCTCTGCACATTCATGGCCAGCCTCGTCTACATATCAAGTTCCATGACAACCAGTGGTACATAGAGAAACCCTGTCTCAAAAAAGTAAACAAAATAACACACATCTTAGAACCCAACAACACTCTGCCCATCTCATTTTCAGCCCTTTTTTGCCTCCTAGAGTTTCCCTAGTGAAACAATTTTAGCAGGTGCAAACTACTAAATCTAACTGAAAAGGAAACATAATGTTGGCATGTTTGGTTTATTTTCAACTTTCTAATGTTAGGATGTGAGCCATTTATATTATGTGTCTTACAATGAAAGTTCAATAAGGGACATGTTAAATACAGAATTATCATGTGACTTGGCTATTTACTAAGTATATATAGACATAAAGCCCTCTCTGCATTTGAGTGTTCAGAGCAGCAATGTTCTGACCAAAAGGTGGAAACTGAGTGGTTTAAGACAAAGCAATTCACTTGGCATGATGATACATGACTTCTTTGGTTGTTTTTTTGTTTTGTTTTGTTTTTCCCCCCAGGACAGGATTTCTATATGTAGCCTTGGCTGTCCTGGAATTTGCTTTGTAGGCCACGCTGGCCTCCAGCTCAGAGATCTGCCCTCCTCTCCTTCCCAGGTTCAGGGATCAAAGACATTCACCACTATGCCTGGCTGATACATGCCTTTAATTCCAGCACTTAGGAGGTAGAACTGGGTAGATCTGAGTTTGAGGCCAGCCTGGTCTTCATAACAAATTCCAGTCCAGACAGAGACACAAAATGAGACCAAGAGGTGGAAGGTAAATCCCTATTGCTGAAGACACCATGCACTTCAGAAACAAGGCCCAAAGATCCCCAAGCTGGAACTGACTCAATGCCCATTCCCTTAGGACTAGTTTCTATGGGACAAAAGTCACTATGCAAGCTTCCAAAGGAGGGAGGCAACCAATAATCTATCCAGCTATGATGCTTATGAACCACACCAATGACTAGTATGGTATGATAACTCTGAGGGTAACCAATAATCTACCCAGCTATGATGCTATGAACCACACCAATGACTAGTATGGTGTGGTAACTCTGAGGGGGCAGCAGTGGCACACATACCTTGGTGGTAACCAACAGCTCTTTAATTACACTTAAGTCCCACTCAACAAGAGGGAAATCATGCCCAGTACTATAAACCTAGTTAATTCAGTACTAGTGAAGTCATGGATACTAGAGGAGAATCTACAACCACTACCCTACTAAACCAGAATAATTCCTAACAATTTAAGCATTTCTCCTCACACCCACAGATAAGTGTAGTCTTCATCCCTCATTAAGGACACTTCTTTTTGCAACAAAGACCATTACAGAAAACCATAACCCATAAAAATGCAGAGTTGTGGAGCCCAGTCTCAATGGATATATCTATAAGACACTCCTGTACCTGAGGCTCAGAGAACACTGCAGAAGAAAAGGTGGAAAGATTGAGCCACAGGTTTGGGAGTTGACTATGAGACTCTATCTCCTAATAATGTCATAAACTAAACTCATAAAGTCCCAGCAACATGACTGCTCAAATGTGAGCTGAACAAGGATACCAATGGACATGCCAACAAGATGGGGGAAAAGTCCTCAAGGCCTCAACCCTACACAAACACAACAGCAATTGAGAAATGCTGGGAATGGGAGATATAATCATTCTGGTTGTCTATAGTACCTGGTAGTCAGCACTGAAAACATACATCATAAATAACATTATATGGACTGAGCAGATTATACCTGGGAATGTGTGTGTGTATACACACATAAACATATATGCATGCAATAAGAATGAAAAAGAGGTCATGAAACATGGAGGGGGTATATGGGGCATTTTGGATGGAGGAAAAAGGAAATGTTATAATTATATTATAATCTCAAAAATAAACAAATTACAGACATGTATTAACTTAATGATGAGATATTTCTAAGAAATGTGGTATTAGGAATTTTGTTGTGCTAACAGTGGACTGTACTTACACACCCTAGGTTACATAGCAATGAGTAGGGTCATTATCATATATGTGTCCTACTATTTACACAAACATTGCTATATGGTATATGACCTTAATTTGTTTCTCTGTCTTTCCAAACATGCTGTTCATGCAACTGCTGATACCTTCTCTGTCTTGAGTTGAGGAAAATAGATGAAGTATGGTTGTCTCTGGCTTGTTCCCTGACACCGCTGCCACTCGTAGAATCCATCTGCTAAAACAACACAGCGCCGTCCTTTTCCCAGAGGAACCTGAGAGAGAATAAACAGGATATGGTCATAGTGACAGGATTCCATGACATGGACTTTCAGGTTCAGCACTGTACTTCAGTGGTAGAGGGCTGGCTTACCTCAAATCTCAAGATTTTTTTTTTTTTTTTTTTAAGAGACAAGATCTCTTAGCCGGGCGGCGGTGGCGCATGCCTTTAATCCCAGCACTCGGGAGGCAGAGCCAGGCGGATCTCTGTGAATTCGAGGCCAGCCTGGGCTACCAAGTGAGCTCCAGGAAAGGTGCAA